AATAAAATTTTGCCCTTTCACAAAGTCATTAAATTCATTAAGGCAGTTAGGTGGTTAAGTAGAGTGTTGGATTTGGAGTAAGGAAAACCTGAGTTTACGTCCTGTCTCAGATACTTACCAGTTATCCGACTCTGGGCAAATCACTTAACCTCTCTCAGCTTCAGTTTCCCCATCTGTAAAAATGAGGCTAATAATAATAACTACCTTGCAGGATTATTGTGAGGATAAAATGAGATATATGTAAAGCACTTTGCAAATTTTAAATTTCTATGTAATAATAAAAAATAGGGTTAATATAGTGTACTACTGTTAGCAAAGCACTTTACATATGTTAACACATTGTATTCAATGTATATAAATGCTAGCTTTTAAAGTACCTGCTATGTAGAGCACTTAGACCAGGACAAGGAAAATCCAATTCTTTCTCTCATAGTGCTTGCCCTCTAAGACTTGTACATCAAGAATAGAACATAAAATGAAATCTTCTCCAAGAATTCTACTTCTGTGTCCCATTAGGTCAGGGGGTTGTTGTCCTCTGTTCTCCCAGCTTCTAGATACTTCCCCTCTAAAGTTAACTTACTATTGCAGTCCATCCTCCACTCAGCAGTCAAGGTGATTTTTCTAAAGCATAGATTTGACTGAGATAGCCCTCTGCTCAAGGAGTTTCACTGGTTCCCTATTACTCTTAGGATCAAATGAAAAATTTATGCAGTTGGCATTCAAAGTTCTTCATAGTCTAGTCCCTTCCTATCTCTGCTTGGCTTATATGTTAGTCTCCTTGTTGAACACTTTAATCAGTTCTACCATCCTCCTTGGAGGTCCTTGAACATGACATCCTGACTCCTATCTCCCAGTCCCCCTTCACCTTTTAACTTCCTAGTTTTCTGTAAGATTCAGCTTAAATCCCACTTTCTGCAGAAGGGCTTTCCTGATCCAGCCCACAGCAGCCCTCCCCTCAACAGCTCATACCTTCCCAATGAGATTACCTTGCATTTGCCATCTGTCTTTGTCTCTGTCTCTGCCTCTGTCTTTCTGTCTCTGTCTCCCTCTCTCTCTCTGATTCTGTCTTTCTCTGTGTGTCTGACTTTATCTCTCTCTGACTCTGTCTCTGACTCTCTGTCTCTCTCTACACACATACATATATCTTGTCTGTACCTGATTATTCACATATTGTGTCATCTATTAGAATGCATTCTCCTTCAGGGGAGTAACTACTTTTTTGGCTTTCTTTGTATCCGTGCCTGGCATATAGTCAATGTTTAATAAAGGCTTTTTGAATCACTGACATATGACAGCCCTTCAATTACTTGTTGATTGATGGATTGGGGAGAGGCAAACACCAAATGGGGTCATGAAGAGTCAGACATGACTGAAATGACTGAATAACAACAATAATAACATTGTGGTATAGTGGAAAGAGTACTGGCTCTGGAGTCAGGAGACCTGGGTTCCAATCCCACCTCGGATGTTTATTACATGTGATCTTGGGCAAGACATTTTGCTTCCCTGGGCCTTGATTTCTTCTCTTTTTGGCAGTCAGTTAGCATTTATTAAGCCCTTACCTTTTGCCAAGCACTACGCCAAAGGCTTCTTCAGCTTCCTCGTATGTAAGAGGAGGGAGTTCATAGGTTGAAGTCCTTCTAGCTTTGGATCTGTGATCTATTTTGTATGTATCTATTTGCACCTATTCACTTTCCTACCATTAGAATGTAAGCTCCTTGAGGGCAAAGACTGTTTTTGCCCCTTTTTTATATCCCCAGTGCTTAGCATAGAGCCTGGCACATAGTAAGTGCTTAATATACTCTGGTTGACTATTGACCTCCACCAGAATGGAGTCTCTTAGGCATCTGTAGCTCTGGAAATGGGGAAATCTTCCCAATCCTGATGGAAGAGCACAAACCCCCTGTAGGCAAATAGAAACAAAACTGACATTTATTGAACACCTACTATGTGCAAGGGGTAGCTAGGTGGTTCTGTGGAGTCAGGAAGACCTGAGTTCAAATCAGAGCCCCAGACACTTACTAAGCTATGTGTCCCTGGGTAAGTCACTTAACCCTGTTTCCTCATCTATGAAATGAGCTGGGGAAGGAAATGGCAAATCCCTCCAGTATCTTTGCCAAGAAAACCCCAAATGAGATCACAGAGCGTCAGACACAACTGAACAACAACAACAATAACACTACATGCAAGGGGCTGAGCTAGGTGCTATAAGTGTGTGTGTGTGTGTGTGTATGTGTGTGTGTGTGTGTGTGTGAGAGAGAGAGAGAGAGAGAGAGGAGGGGCTGGGGGTAAGGAAGAAGAAGACCAATGTGAGAAAGCCACAATCCTGCCTTCAAGGATACTCTGCTCTGGAAGTGCTTCTGGGTGTCTAGCCACAATCCTCACTCCTTCTAGGAAAGCACCCCAAGAACCTGCGCCTCTGTAGAAGGCATCTGGAGTGAATGGGTGGTGGACCCTTTCAGGGCAGGGTCAGTGAAGGGAAGAAGAGCTCAGTCTACCCATAGGTGGTACTCCAATGGTCTAGAACAGCAGTTCTCAAACTTTTTGACCTCAGGATCATTTTAAACTCTTTAAAAAATTTTGAGGACTCTCCCAAAGAGCTTGTGTTTATGTGAATTATATCTTTCTATATTTACCATATTAGATATAGATATAGATATATAGATATCTTAGTATTATTATGAAATAGTTTTGACCTCATGGTCCCCTTGAAAGGGTCTCAGGTAATCTCAGGATTCTCCGGACCACACTCAGAGAATTGCTGATCTAGCAAATAGACACATCTTCTAAGGGGAATGAATTGAGGAATGATTCTGGAGATTTTAAGCTAGGAATGTCCATAATGTTCTTCTCATAGAAATCTGAATGAGCGAGTACTCTTTCCACTATACCACAATGTTATTGTTGTTGTTATTCAGTCATTTCAGTCATGTCTGACTCTTGATGACCCCATTTGGAGTTTGCCTCTCCTCAATCCATTAAATGCACTTTGTTTGTCTCTGCAGAAATCTTTAGATATGTGGCTCATATTGACCCCTTTTCCCACCATATCCTGAGCCCTTTGGGGGCAGAAATTGCCTGCAATTAGAACTCAAGACTATTTTGACCTCTTCAGAAGGCAGAGTAAAGAGAATGGAGACAGGAGTCATCATCTTGCCTTTTTGTCTACCCTTTTTTGTGTCAGATGCTATCCCCTCTTTTTCTGACTGTGACCAGAATTATCTTTCCACTTAAATGACTCTGGCCTGGTCAGAGACAGGACAGATATGCTGGGTCAGTGGAGTCTCTTGGAGCATTATCAAGCACTCTTCATGCCCTAGAGATCGTATTTTTGCCAGTAATCTTCATGGTATGCCAATAAAGACACACACACACAAGTCATTTTAAATAGGGATAAATTTTAAAATAAATAAAGTTGGATCAGGTCAAAGGACACTGGCTTACTAAGTTCCATGAGGGCTGGGACCACGTCTTATCTAAACCTTGACTCTGCCCTCCACTGAGCAGCAGAAACTCTACATACACACAGGGGCTATTTAATAAGTATTGTTGAAGGCTAAAAGATTGGAATAGAAAATTTTCTTATACATTAAAAATGGAAATAATTTTCTGTGCTTCTTGGCAGAGTCAAAACAAGAATTGTTTACAACTGGGGCATGTGGCAGAAATAGTGTTACAGGCTCAAGCATGGACTCAGTTGGGGAGGGGCAGAGACCTTGGGATCAGGTGCTTTAGGGGAAGGCTATTGCACAAAAGTGAAGGGGTAGGAAGAAGGGAACAGCAAGGAAAGAATTCACCCCAGCCCACCATCAAATAGCTTCGTATTTAAACCATTCTTGCTAACCAGGTGCTAAACTTGGTTATTCCTACAGCAGAAGAATGTTAAGTACTGTCCGTATCCTCTAAATTAGGTGCCCTAGGGAATAGCCCTAGTCATCCTGCCCAAGCTATGGCTCTGATTCTTAGTCTTTACTAGAGCTGGTCATCTATAGTTTTTTGATAACTAGGATTGATACAGGCCTAGTCAGTCTCTTGCTTAAGTATCATCTTCCCCAACAGGGTAAGCCCAGGAACATTTAACACTGCCTTCAACTAGATCCCATCTAGGAAACAACAAATGAGATCATAGGGCTGGCAGTAATCTCAAAGTCATCTGGTCTTTCCCCTAGTCCACCAGGGAGACTGCACTGAAACCCGCCTAGTTTTCATGGATTCCTTCATTCCACCAACTAACACTTAA